TGATCTTCTCAATTACTGCCGAACGTAGAAATTTATTTCATTATTCAAGACTATTTCAATTTTATTTTCTTTGTGATTCTCGTATCCTAAGCAAGGACTTGGCGCATTTTTATTTAATTTCCATACCTTTTCTATGACTTTTACATTTGGTGTAGCGCGAAGCTCTTTATTATAACATTCAGCTTAGATTAGTATAAAAGTAAAACATTTTTTACTTGTTGTTATACATAACCCTAAGGTGTCTTAACTAGATGGTAGGTCAACTTAGTTAATAGTCATTCTGCTGGCGTTAAATGTTGCTTCGTGATCGAGGCAGTTGTATATAGGTTTGTTAATAAATTCAGAAATGACTCCCAACGTGATGTGAATGATTCTTTAAATGGCAGGATTATGTTTAGTTACCGTTTCTGACTTCCTCTGGTGCTCTGTTTAGTTCAGGATGGAATGGGCTTTGTCAAGCTACTGCTGAAGGTTAATTGCACTTTATGAGAATGTGTTCCAGGTCTTGTGCTACCCGTGGAAGTACTTTCTTCATCATCAATGATTTTCAGTCTGATGGCCATGAATACATACTATTGCTTGACCAACAATTTACATTGTAATCAGCTTTTACGAAAGATGGCTACAGTACAAGAATGTGAATTAGGACTCCTTTCAATTTTTTCAAAAGAAGGAAAAACAGTTTTTAAGGTTACAAGCAAAAGAAAACAATCCGCGGTTTTATTTAATGCGATTAGGCTGTTTATTTCCATTTTGTAATTGGAAAGGATGTTGTTTACATCTTGGAACAAAGAACGAGTTGGAATCTTTCAAATTCAGATTTATTAGCTTTCCTTTTATATTCTTCAAACAAATTTGTATCGAATAACAAAAAGCTGACGTTTGCTCAGAAGTTTTCCTAATTACACTTACGTGGTGTTTATAATGAAATTATAACGTAAAATTTACAGATAAATTTCTTTGAAGTTATTCAGAAAACATTTGCTTTTATTCTTCATATTTCATTTCAACAGACTAACACTCTATGTTATGCATTTTTGCATTGTACATTTGATTAGAAAATTTGTAGTTTTGATTGGCACCTTCTATATAGTGCCTTGAACAAATCTTAAGTCCCACTAAAGTAGCAGGGGCACTGTTCATTTATTGATATTTGAAATGGGCTCCTAAAAGCCGGTTCTGGGAGCAGTTGCGTCCTTTATGTACTCTCTGAAGCCGTATGTTATCTCAAACCACACATTTTCGCAAAATGTTCCTATATATTCCACTGTACAGTTACGTAGGCGTCAGTTTCTAAGACCATGTTTAAGCGAACCAAATGCACAAAGGGGACCTGAATGAAATTGCTGTAGTTTCTAGTTTCTTCAGCCATCTTTCTCAGTAAAACAACTGTCAATTCAAAGTATTCGTTACGATATATTATGCGCATATATGCTAATAATACGCTAAAAAGGTCGCTATCATTTCCGTGAAAACAGCTCCAAAATTTCTAAAACAGCAGCTTTTTTGTCTACTACCTACCTGATCACCTCAGCGGGGTTAGCGCCTAGACAGTTTAGATTATTGCTACAAAATTTCTCCAGCTTACTTGACTAGTCTGTGGGTATCCACTTTTGATATTCCAATAAAAATCCATCTATATATATACAGGTATAATATAAATGGTAAAGATATCATGCACGTACTTAAATATCTTTTCAACCCAACGGATGGTGGTACATATCGATGGATAGACACGCGAAAGTTTCTAAAGGTAAAGTATATACTTTATACAGGTATAACATAAAAAGTAAACAAAAAGCGTACTAACAAATTATGAATTTTAAAATGAAGGAGGGATCCTGCTACAAAAAGTAATGAAACAAGAATTACAACCACAGTCACAAATATATAAAAGTTAATCCCTACTTTGGCAGCTTTATACACTTATCTGTAGGCCAAAGTAAAGATTAAATTATATAAATTTGTTATTGTGATTTTAATTCTTGTAAAAGTTATAGCTATCAGGGATACGGCTATACTGAAAATTTATAGATGTTGTGTGCATTCCATATACATATAAAAAACTGAAAAATTAAATTAGGAAAAAAAATTAAAATTTTAACAGAAAGTAGGGATGGTTGGTTATTCGTAGAATTGCCATAAGAAGTCCAAACCAAAAATAAATGTTTCAATAAAAAGTACACAAACAAGAAAAGTGATACTAGTTAGATAGATTTTAAAACGATTTTAATCCCTACTTTGGTTGGCATTGTAGTACATATATAGCTAAATTAGATTGCTTCATTGTTCAATGTATCTCAAAATTGTAAAGACACCTTTGAATTTTTAGTGGTGTTGTTTATACTATATTTTAAATTTATTTCTTCGAATAAGTAGTATATGTTGAATCAGTTTGAAATTGCTTAATATGTTCTTAAAAACCACTGTTTACAGAATGAAAAGTGAATTATTCACCGTTTCTTTTCATTTTCTGTTTACACAGCGAATGCTTTCTAATTTGTACTCTTTTAATTCATACCTCCCGGTGACACAGCGGTATGTCTGCGGATTTACAACGCTAGAAACCGGGTTTCGAAACCTGTGGTGGGCAGAGCACAGATAGCCCATTGTGCAGTTTTGTGCTTAATTACAAATAAACTTATAATTCATATCACTTGTTATAATGGAAAAATATAGCCCTTTTATATCATGGAACTGATTGAGTATTTTCTCACGTAATCGTAATCGCTGCTTAACACTGACTAATTGATTGTATGCTTCATAGCTGAAATTTCAAGTCCTTTTTGTTTTAGGTAGTAAAATACTTGATAATTTGTTTGGTGGAAAATACAGTTATCTTAATAGTTTATCCTGTGGTGTTTTTATTATAAGCTTTGCTTTCCATGTTTTAATTTTGATGTTTTCTAGAGGGCGCATGATGTTATAATCTGGAAAATTCGTGTAGTGAGAAGGGAAATAGAATATAAATATGACTAACCAGCAACGAGTCAGTTAGTTCAGTGCCAATCAGTTAGTAAGCTAAGCAGTGAATCAGTAAGTATTGTTTGAATTAGTTTTGCGATTCGGTAGAAGTTATTTGGTTAAGTGAGTAATCAACGAGTATTGAGTTAGTGATTCAGTTCAGAGTCAGTTCAGTGTCAGAAAAGTTATTCAGTGTTAGAAGTGAGAGTTATCGCGTCTATATCGATTTGTCAAGTTAGGCCTACGTTCGTTTTGGAATTTATGTATTTAAATTAGGCCTACAAGTGAAGAAATAAATTTGATATTGTTACGTGGTCTGGGTTTAATATTATTATTACCAAATAATCGAAAAGAACCCGCTCAACGATGGCACACGTTACAACAATATAAATCACATATTATTATAGTTAACAAGCAATCTCTGACTCAACGGCAGCAGAAAAGGTAGTACACTTTGTAGGAACCCTATCTGGTATTTAGTATTTTTTCCTGACAACCTACAGGAATATACATTATATTATGAAGAATCAAGATGTGTACGCCGACCTGTAATTGGATAATATCCAGAGAAGCTATTATTGTTTTTATCAGTAGATTTTGGTGATTCTTTACCCTAACTTTAACAGTGGTCATGACATTGTTGTGGTAGATCATGGAACACTCACCATTCCTGAACTTTTTGTGAAACCTGTTAGGAACTGCTCAGACAACGAGCCAGAATCTCCCAGTGTTTGTTCTTGTCGAAACGGAAACAAGGTCGGATTCAAAGCTAACCTGTAAAAGTAAAGTAGCAAAATGTCCAAGGTGTTATAAAAGTAGCAGGTGTGGATGAGATCACGATGTCACACCAGTTGTTCAAAAAGTTAGCTGTGAGAGAGGTCAGAGAAGCTTCGGCAGAAGAGGTACTGTCAAGCGCCCAAAGGAAAGTACATCTGCATACAAGAACGTTAAACTCACGGATGTATCCGACGACTTGCCCTCAAATGAGGATGAGAGCAGAAAGAGGGGAACAATTCAAGATCAGCTAAGGAAGGAAGAACACGAAGACTTTTTCGAGTGAAGTGCAAGAACTATTACAAGGATAAGAGAAGTAATAAAATATTGCATGGCCACAACATACGGGTGTTCCATTTTAGGAGGATAGAAAAACCTTAAGGACTACTCAGATCAAAGAAATCATCAAGACAAAAATTATCCCCTATTTTAGGTTTGCAGGTTTCTGTGTCTTATGGGAGAACTTACCTCCTACCAAAATAGTCTTACGTTGAGTCAGAAATTGTTTGTTAAAAATACAAGTGACGAGATAGAAAATAATATTAAGAAGTTATTGAAGACTGTAAATTACGTTTACCAAAGCTCTTATTTGCCGTAGAGGGTATTCTTTAGAACTGTTTGTGATATACAAACACCAAAGGTGTTATTTGCCGTAGCGGGTATTCTTTAGAACTATTTGTGGTATACAAACACCAAAGGTGTTATTTGCCGTAGCGGGTATTCTTTAGAACTATTTGTGATATACAAACACCAAAGGTGTTATTTGCCGTAGCGGGTATTCTTTAGAACTATTTGTGGTATACAAACACCAAAGGTGTTATTTGCCGTAGCGGGTATTCTTTAGAACTATTTGTGGTATACAAACACGGAAAGTGTTATTTCAAGAACAAAATATTACAATATATCTTCCAGAATTATTTTATTCATCACCCACAGCATAATATGTACATTCATTCCACAAATCTCAAACTAATAACTTAACCATCTGATAACAATGAGAGAACCGAATAAATCGTGTTTACTTCCCTTGAATATTGAAACTCTCTACAAAGTCTCACAAGAACTAAAATCTGAATTGTATTTCATTACTATTCAAATACATGAGCAGCTTCATAATTATATCATGATTCCGAAAAACCACAGCCTCGTGACTAGAAGGTAACACAGTTGATAGAATGCATCTAAACTTAATGTTTTTAAGGTGCCATCAAATATATATGAAAAAAAAAAACCTGTAAGATGAATTTAGTTCAGAAAGAAAAAACAAAGAATGGAATAATAAATACAGAAGAAATACAGTTATCTAAAAAATATTATAAGTATTGAAATATTAATTCTGATGTCCATAGATTCAATATGTTAGAGATACGATCTGCATTTTGTAACCAGACAATTTAAGTAAGATTTCAGCAAGTACATTATTTCGGAAGAGAAACTGGACCCCCTCACTTCAGAAAACTCTATCACAATAACCTATTCTTTATAACATCTATTGATTTGCTGAGTCTGTGTTTTTAACATTGTAGAATTAAAGTTTTTTTCTGAATTTTGTAGTCATTTAAAAACATATACTTAAAACGATAAAGTGTTTCAAATCAACAAATCTGACAATTTTCGGAAATAAGAAGCTTTTAACAACTCCTTTCTTTTAGAGAAACGAGATAAGTTAAAGTCTAAAATACTGTTATTACGTTCAATTGTTCTATCTCCATTTCTTCTCTTTTTTTCACGTGTACGATTATTTTTCTCTTCTCATACAACACATAAGGCTTCTGAAAACTGTACAAGTGATAAGTTAATAATAATAATAATAATAGTCAAGGAATGTTACAAACTTTAACATTCAGATTGCTCATAAACACCACGTTCTTTGGATGGTTGAATAAAGAACAGAGTATAGCACTTTATATTCCTGTTTTGCATGTAGACCATCCCCATAAATAAACATCGATAAATAAATTCTGTGATATTAGTCAAAAGTGGTACTAACTATAAGTAACATTTGTCTACACAAAATATTAGTAGTTTAGTTCATTTGCTACAACATTTTTTTAAGTAAAATTTGTCGAGTTTGATTTTATGAATTAATAATTAGGTACCAGCCTTTCAGAGCCTACTATCAGTTCAGAGCGCATTGGTCGTTTGGAAGAACACATACAACCAATAACTTTATATATGAAACACGTGCACCAAACAAAATTATCAAAGAGTTGTCCATTTCGTGCATTTTGAAACAAGTTTTTATAGAGATCACAAAAGAATTGATATAATAAAATACTATAAAATAACTACCTCACTCTTAAGGATTTGTCTATTTATACTTGACTAGTGTTTCCCATTTGCTTTTGTTCTGTGGAAAACAAAATTTATTGCATTAAAGTTGCTTTATCTTATACGAAGATACACAATGTGTTATATCAGATGTTCTTAGATCAGAGTTTAAAAGTGAACGTTTTATATTTTATTTAGCAAGCTGTCTATAAACGCAGTTCGAAGAGCCACAGATAACGTACTATTGTTATTAACCTCAGTTACATAGTTACTTCGTCACGTTTAAAATATCTTGTACATTTTAAAAACAAAAGAGTAAAGATCACTGACCAATATGTCAAAATTTGTCATTAAGTAGAAGCGACTTTTAAACCATATGCTGTATATATTTTACTGAACAATGTATAGGAGTATCCTAACGAACTATTTTTAGTTGATGAGAGGATATTGCAATTCCTTTATAGAAAAAAAAGCTGAATCTACAATAAATCTATCTTTCATCACCTACACTACCCTACTGAACCATTTTTATCTATCTTTCATCACCTACACTACCCTATTGAACCATTTTTACTGTTGGTAAAGCAGAAAGTAATCAACAAAACAGTAAAAATGCTGTCATTTTTTCCATTCTCTTTTACATAACCTTTCTTCGCAAAATTACTAATTGTTACTATTTTAGAGTTTGAGGCAAATCCCGATCTAAAGTAGTCATTTATTTTGTAACAACAACGAAAAAACTTATCTTTAGCCAGCCTTCCAACTTTATCATCAGTAGGCATCTCTTACTGTGCAGGATGATAAAGGGGATTGATGTTGTTGTTTTTCTTTTGAAATAAAACTATATTTTTCACTGCCCTCTGTTATCACTGGTAGAGAATTCCACGTTAATGATAATAATAAAGGACAGTGGTCATTTATGAACTAACACTAAAATCCATGATACCGAAAGTAGTGTAGGGTAGTTTTTTTTTTTAAATTCTCACCAATAAAGCACTTTTTCTGACCAGAACTAACATTTTGACTTTTCCCTATTTATGTAGATGACAAGGTATCTGAATCATGACCAACTTCGAGAAATCATATCCGCGTCTGTTGGTGATGGATTTTAACAACAGATGGTCATTTCAATGGAAAACCAAAGCTCCATTCAGAAACTGTAAAGTTACAGACGGTGATGGGTTGTGGTGCGAAGACCTTTCTGTGCTAGTAAGTTTCGAAGTTTCTGTAGGTTATTCTGAGTTATAAGATCATCAGGCTTTAAACGAAGAGCTTCCAAGTAACTGGACTCAGCTTCCAGAAGTTTTCCATTAACATGAAGCATGGCTCCCAGATTCATGTGACTTGTTACATCCTGCACAAAACAACAATATATTTAAATGTAATAATTTATACTTTACATATCTCCTTTGAATAAAATAAACGTTTTTAAATAAATTAAAACCAAAAACTTGGTTTCAAAATTATATATGTATATATATATATATATATATTACATACATTGCCTTGGTAAAAATATGTGGGCAAAGACTCATTGAGTGGACAGAGAGGACTTCTATGAATAACTGGCCTAATAAGTGACCTAATACTCTGCAATACCACTATTTATCAGAATAATCGCTACTGTTCTGCAAGGTATGTTCTCAACTATAGTTTTTATAGTTATTTATTGCGATTTACCTCCATTAATGTTTCAGAATTCTGGATGTTGGAAATAACCAGACTAGATGATCCCAAATATATTCTATAGTAGATTTTCCTAACTCTTTATAGTCCGGACCGGCATGACCAGGTGGTTAGGGCGCTCGACTCGCATTCTGTGGGTCTCGGGTTTCAATCCCCGTCCCATCAAACATGCTCGCCCTTTCAGCCGCGGGGGCGTTAT